AGAGTTTCAATCTGGACACAGCAGCACCGGGGTAGCTGGCCTTGCTGGGTGGCCCACCCACCCCTTCCCTTCCCATCCTACTCTATCCCACAGTTCAGCCAAGCTCCGTCCATACCGCCTCCCCCTTCCAGCATCAGCAGCCATTTGACCATCCCAAAGGCCCAGTCCTCCCTGAAGAGGCTCCTCAGGAAGTGGCTCCAGCCATGTGAGCTGGGAATTCAGCGCCTAGGAGGTGGAGGGAATGGGGGGGTCCAGGTGGTCATGTCCCTGTGGCTTTGTGCATTCTGAACCCCTTGGGGCCTGAGTGAGGTCCTCTTAGAGCATGGGGCCCAGAGCAGGGCCCAGTTGCTCAGGTGTAAAGGCCGTTCTGACCTCTACATTGTGCCCTTCCCTTTTATCTTCCGTAATATTATAGCATAACTCAGTATTTGAAAAAAATTTTTTTTTCCCTCTATTGAGCTGAATTTCATAAAAGAATTTCATTGGTAATATTAACATTCTGATTGAGGCCACAAAGTAATGAAACTGCTTTTTTACTCCAGTCCCTGAGGCTTATACATCCAAATGAATGCCACTCCAGGGGAACCCATTACCCTCAGCCCTTCTGTGGGCCTTTTCTCAAATCACGTCTGAACTCCTCTGCTAGAAATGTCATCAGAGCCCATGGCTAAGTCTTTGGAAAAACCCTCCGTGGGGACAAATCACATGTAGAAACTATCAACTCATTGTCAGTTTATACCAGGAAAGGCCCTTAGAGACCGCCACATATGCCCCCTCAACCTGCAGCTAGAGACACAGAGAGATCTAGAGACTTGCCCAAGGTCACACAGCTTGTGTGTGCATGTATATAGCTAGGCTGGTCCCATTCCATCTTTGCTGCTTCTCTCTCATTTGACCTTTGAGGGCATAATTGCCTTTTGAAACCCACCCCAAGTTGTTAGGGGCCATGTTGAGTGCCCAATGAGGGTGGTGAAGTCGAGCTGTTGAAGGCTGGGTCATCCTGTGACTGGAGCTCGAGTCTCTTGCCCTTGGCTCAGGTTGTTAGCAGAGCCAAGGTACAGCCGAGTCCCTCGAACTGTGGACACCAGGAATTCTGCCTGACCAAATGTGAATGGTGTCCTAGCAACAAATTCACTACCTGTTAGGTTCACCACACCATGTGTTAGGTTTTATCCATCTATGATTTCCTTCAGAAATTCATCATGTCCAGCCATCACTATTCTGTTCATCACTCAAATTACACAGCAGAAGCTCTTCAATTCCAAGGGTTCTTCAAGGAGACAGCACTGTCTCTAGCCCAGCCCCACTCCCCAAGCCCCTTCTCACAAGTAATTGCCGCCCACCCGCCGGCTCTCCCAATCATCCTTTGCAGTCTCACTCCTCCTGGGGAGCATGAAATGGTCCATTATGAGGCTTCTCTTCCTTAAACCTTTTGGGTCCTTTGATCACGTCGTTTGTCTGCACCTCAGGGCTGTGGCATTAGATACTTACTCTGCCAGAAAGCTTCTTCCCCAGCTCTTTGTGTGATATTCTTGGCACCCAAATATCAACACTTGTCATTTCTCAGGGCGAGCTTCCCTGAGCCACCCTTTCCAAAGCCCCCTCCCCCCAGGCATTCTCTATCTGCTGGTTTTACCTTCTTTATTGCTCTTTTCACTTCCTGCAATTTACCTACCCAAAGAATTAAGCTCCATGAGGTTAGGTATGTTATCTGTCTTGATAACAGAACCCAGAACAATACCTGCAGAGATACTTTCTAAGCCTCAATTTCTCCCTCTGACAAGCGAGGAGGTTGGACCAGGTGATAGAGAAGTTTCCCCTTGGTGACTGAGGCAGGGGCCTGGCACAGTGATAAGAATGCAGGATTTGGAAGCAGGACGACATGCCCTGGATCCAGCCCCAGCTCCATGGTTTGCTAACTGTGACCTGGGGCAGGGTCCTATCTCCTCCAGGTCCCCGCATCCTCCCTTGCTTGGTGGCCGTGAGGGTTCAGTGAGATGAAGTGTGTGCAGCACCAGTCCCGTGTCCAGGACATGGTAGGTCCCCCACAAATGCTAGCCATGGCTATTAATAGAACAGTTGGTTGGTTACCTGGCCACCTGCCACGGCTGCTCGCCCAGGATGTCCTGAAGACCCCAGACTGCACCGAGACTGGTACTGACAACAGTCAACAGCCCTCCCAAGAACATCCTACCTTTACTTCCTCAGCTAATTTCCAATTATTGGACATTTAGGCTGTTCCTAATTTTTCCCAATTACACCCCTGCAAAAAAGCACCCCTGTATCTAAATTTTCTGAACACACACTGATAAGTATGTTTTCAGAAGAAATTCCCAGATGTGAAATTTCTGAGGAATTGCTGAAGGTATAAGAAACTTAAATGCTATTCACACATATATAGGGGCAAATTATTCTCCCCAAATATGAAAAGCTAAAATCCCATTGTGTATGAAAGTACCCATTTCCCTGCATCCTGGCGCACAATAGGTATCTCAATTTTTAAGATCATTGTCAGTTTCTTAGGTTAAGAAAAAAAAGTGTTATCTCCTCTCATTTTAATTTGCATTTCTCTGATTAATGATTAAGAAGGAGCTCCTTTCAAATACTGATGGGCAACTTTCACTTTCGAGGTGTGCTTCCTCTTTATATCAGATTGCTATGGTAAGAGTCACAATTTTCAATGTTTTATTTCAAAGCATCCATGTTATTTTTCCATCTTTCACTATTTGGCTATATTTTTCTTGATTTTAAAATGCAACTGGGGGCAATTTCATCTTATTAATTCAGCTATTGGCTATATTTCTCTAATTAATTGCTTAAGCATAAAAGGAAGGAGGCCCCTTTGACCTCTTTCCTGGATCTTGCTGCCATGAGGCTTTCTCTGATGCACGCAAAGGCATCTGAGGGCTGGTGGTATCTCTTTGAGTCCTGCTTGTTCAACCTAATGATTACATTCAGATGACGTCTCCAGACCTCTTTCCCATCCGGGACAAGCCACTGGGGGCATCCTTCAAGGATTCTGTGACCCTCTTAAAGTAGGGTGGGGGGTTCAGACCTGAGCAAACAGACACAGTATGGTCTCACCAGGAGATCAATGAGTGTGATTTTTAAACTTCTTCGATATAGTTTATTGGCAGTATTTTTTTTGTGTGGACAGTAGTGGGATCAAGATCAGGCTGTTTATTCAGTTTGACATTGAAGCCAACATAAGCCCCTATATACTTTTTTATATGTACCACCTTAAATCCCTATCTTTTCTATTTCACAGAACTGTTCTTCATCCAAGGGAAAGGAGAGTGCAGAACACTGGCAATGTGGCTGTTTACTTCTCTTCTATGGGTAGAGTCCTTGGAGTGGGACACCGGTGTAGCTTAGCTCTGAAAGGTGACCTCATGCTCACTGTCTTTGCAAGCATGGAGTCGAAGTCATTGCTAACACACTATAGCCCAGACCATTCATCACTGTTCCCAGGTGAAGCCGGCTCCAATCTCCCTCAGGCAAAACAATGACAGCAGGAAGAAACACTCTCACAATCGTCTGAGAAAAAGTAATAGTTGTTCTTAAAGCAGGTCTCCAATTATGCAGGGCAGAAGAATTTCTTCCATTGTAAAGCTGACACTGAAAGCTGATTGATTACTCAGGTTTATCATGAGATGCTAAAAGTTTCTGAGAACATAACTTTATATAGAGAGTCCCAATTACTGACAGGTTGTGCTCCACATATTTCTGAAAGGCAGTTAGTTGTTGGAACCTAGAACATATTTTCCCACAGAAACTATGTTATAAATAGTGGTGCCGTTCCCAGGCTAGCCCACACAAGCTTGCTACCGCACAGTGTGACTAAACTTTATGGGTCTGTCATTCCCACAGTACTGAGCTGAGTCCTGCTTTCTGGGAGATGGGAGTCTCATGGACAGAAGAGAGGAGGAGGAGGAGACAACCCCTTCCACATCTTCAACTGACATCCCCCAAGGGCAGCAAAACTGGCAGAGTTTCTCTCTAGCATCCCTTGTGGGATGCTAGAAACACAGCCTCATTTGGAAGGTACACTAGGGGATAATCTGATTCCTATACTCCAGTTTGTAGGTCACCTGGGGAGCTTGTTAAAAATGCCAGGGCCCTACATTTTGTTCAGTATGTCTGTGAGATAACATCTGCATTTTTTAAAAATACACAGATTGGTTACCATTGATTAAGCCCCTCTTACAATCTGATTATAGGACCTCGTTTCTCATTAGCAACTTCCAGGTGTTTGTTGAGCCCTTTCTGAGATTCCCCCAGTGTTGGCAGAAGGCAGAGCTTTCCACTTAAGGAATGCCTGGTGTCTATGAGACTAGTCTTCCAGATACAGAGTTTACATCCATCTCCCTGTAACGTGCTACGTCTTCCTGTGGAGTCGCAAAAACCATGTCTGCTCCCTGTAATCCACAGCGGTGCCTCAAAGGGCTGAAGTTAGTGACATGCTTACCCTGTCCCCAACTTGCCACTCTTCACCTTTTAAGCAAAACAGTCTCAATTGAGACTTCTACTCTGACTATGACAAAATAGGTTACATCAGACTAAAGCTCTCATGAAGAGCATTCAGGAAAGCAGAATAAAATTTTAAAAAGCTGGATATCTAGAAACCAGGGTATCTAGGACTTGAGGAACCAATATCCTGGAGAGAAAAGAAATGTTCTGAGAAGAGTCCAGCATTCTTTGCTGCTTCCTCATGAGGCATTTGCTGATTTGTAAGTAGGAATGCTAGCTAAAGGAACAGAAAACACTGGATAAGAGTTTTCAGCAGACTCTCAGAGACTGGAATTAAAAACACTGTAGTTCAGGGTTATCAGGGTGGCAAGGCTTGTAGGGCCAAGGTCTCAGAGGAAAAGGAACCACAGAATACCAGAATGCAGACTGACATTCACATTTGAAATATTTGGTGATAACTAAGCTACATAAAGCAAGAGACTGAGAAGCCCCCCCCCCCCAAATGGTGGCTAAGGGGCTAAGATAACAAGCAGATGTGTTAAGAGTCTCAAGATATCAGGAAGACAAAAACTGGAATCCAGGGCCAGTAAACACCCCTGGGTTTCAGTTTAGAACACTGAACCACAAACAGGATTAAGGGCAAACCAAATGAGATCAGGCCTTACGAAAACTAAAACCAGGCCTGGAATCATCTCAATTCTTGATTGTATAACGTGCTCTGCTCCTATGCTAACTGCTTGCTTGAAGAGAAATAAATCTTCTCTGGAGAAAGACAACATCATCTGTAGCCCCTTTAATTTTTCATATCCAATTCAATTAGTCAAGTTTTCTAGATATACCAGGTGATAGGACAAAATTTTTTAAAAAGAAAGTAAAGGAAAGAAAGAAAGAAGTAGGGACGGAGGGGAGGCAGGGAGGAAGGAAGGAAGGAAGACAGGCAATAGAAGCAGACCCACAGATGATCCAAATCTTCTTGTTATTAGACATGGACTTTAACGTAGCAGGTTTATATGTCCAAGAAAACAGATAAAAGATACAGAATGCCACCAGAGAACTGGAAACTATGAAAGAAAAAAAAAGAGTAAAATGAAAATTCTAAACATAAGAAAGACAACAAATGAAATGAAGAACTCAATAGATGGATGAGGCAGCATATTAGACACAGAAGAAAGGTTAGTGAACTGGAAGAAAGGCTAGTAATATTCAGACTGAGGCATAGGGAGGAAAAAAGAATAGAAAATAAGAAATGAACAAAAGAGATATATGGAATGTGTTGAAAATGCACATGTATAATTGGTGCCCTGAAATGTGAGGAAAGAGAGAACAGATAGAAGCAATATTTGAGGGATATCATCCTAGAATTTCCTCAAATACACATCAACCCACTGATTCATGAAGTTCTGTAAAGCTCTGTAAACTCCAATCAAGATAAACCCAAAGAAAATCTCACTTTAGCACAGCAGAGTAAAACTGCTGAACACTCAAGCAAAGACAAAAATCTTCAAAGCAGCTAGAGAAAAGAAAAGGGTGCATTGCCTTCAAAAGACCGACAATAAGGCTGACTTAATAGAAACAATGGATGCCAGAAGACAATGAAATGACATCTTACAGTGCTAAAATAACAGACCATCTAGCATTCTACACTTAGTTAATATACCTCTCAGTATTAAGGTGAAAGAAAGTAAACTTCACACAATCAGAAATTGCGAGAATTTGTCTCCAGCAAACCCATTATAAAAGAAAGATCAACGGGGGTTCCTCAGGCAGAAAGAAAATAATCACAAACAGAACAGAAATGAAGGAATGAAGAGTAATGGAAAGTGTAAATATGTGAGTAGATCTAAATGAAACATGACATCAGGGCCAAGGACACCCAAGGAAGTCTTACAGAAGAAGAACAAAGATATGGGCTAACACTACCAGGCATCAGAACTTATTCTAAAACTTCAATTATTAAGACACTGTGGTATTGGTTAAAGGATAGGCTAATAGACCAATGGAAGAGAACAGAAAGTTAAGAAACAGATCTACACACTACATAAACTCATTTAATTTACAGCAGGAGGATAGAGAGGATTCTCAGTAAATGATTCTGAATCATTGTTTATCCATATGAAAATATTAATCTTGATCTTACCTCAGACCTCATATAAAATCAATTTCACATGAATTCTATACCTAAATGTGAAAGGTAAAACAAGTTTCTAAAAGACAAGCTAGAAAAATATCTTTATGAGCATGGGTGGGCAAAGATGCTTAAACAGGACATAAAAAACATAAGTAATACATGTAACTGTCTAAGAATTCATATCCAGAATACAAAAAGAACTTCCACAAATCAATAAGAAACAGGCAGAGAATTCAAGTGGAAAAATGGGCAAAAGACTTGAATAGGCAATTTATAAAAGAGGATATCAAAATGGGTAATAACGGTATGAAAGATTCACAACTTTATTAGGCATCAAGGAAATGTAAATTAAAACAAAAATGGGACACCACTACACACCCACTAGAATGGCTAAAATTAAAAAGCTAACAATGCCAAATGTCGGTGAGCATGTGAACCAACTGGAACTCTCAATCACTGCTGGTGGGTGTGTAAATTGGTACAACCACTTTAGAAATCTGTTTGGCAGTGTCTACCAAAGCTGAACATATGCATTCCCTATGACTCAGAAATTCCACCCCTAAGTATGCACCCAAGAGTAATGTGCACATATAGTCGCCAAAATACATTAAATATCTAGAAATAAATCAAATGGAGTATGTGCAAGAATTCCACATGGAAAATTACAAAACATTTCTGAGAGAAATTGAACAGACTAGAAGACTCCATATTATTATCAGTTTTTCCTAAATCAATCTATAGATTCAGTAAAGTCCCAACAACAAAGGAGAGCAGATTTGTGTGTAAAAACTGACTCACTACTCCTTTCTCCCACCTCTGAGGCTGCTGTACTGATGAAGGAAGAAAATTACAATTTGTCAAGTACCTATTGTGTGCTTGGCAGTACCTGGCAAGATATTTTCCTCTATATTACCTCATCTAATTCTTCTAAATCTGTAAAAGAGATATAATCATCCTAGTATAACAAGAAACAATTTCAGAAAGGTCAGCTGACTTGCCCTATGTCTTTGTATCACTATTGATTAGGTTCAACCACATAACTAAGAGACAAATTATCAGTAACTTAAATGAGATAGTTTCTGTCTCATGTTAAAGAGTCTATATGTAGGCAATGCAGGGTTGCTATGGTAGCTCTACAGTGTAACTGGGGACTCAGGCTCCTATCTTTATGCTCTGCCTCCCTAGAATGAAATTTCCTTCTCAAGGTCACCTGTTGATCCCAAGATGGCTGCTATAATTCCAGCCATCCCATCCATATTCTAGTCAAACAAAGGAGAAGGAAAAAGAAGGGCAAGTCTTCCCCTTAAGGAACATTTTATAAGTCTTATATAATACTTCTACTTACATCTCTTGGCTAGATTTAGAATCCTGGCAGTCTCTAGCTACATGGGAGGCTGGGAGATGTACATTTTTCAGCTGGGTGGCAACACACCCAGATAAAAGCCAGAGTTATGTTACCGAGGAGGAAGGAAGTTTATGGATGTCGGTATGGACAACTATCTTCCAGAGTCACTCAGCTGGAAAATGGTGGGTCCAAGATTCAAATCTAGCAAGTGTCAATAGGCCACCACACTCTTTCTCCTGAGCCCATATTCTCTTGCCATATCACCTGTCTCCCAGGGATGTGAATACTTAGAGAAGCTGAAGGGAACAGGATCTTTGTGGGGAAGGTGGAGGCAGAGGCAGCAGCATTGTAAAGCTTGACTCCCCAGGAAGCTCCTTTACTTTTCCATGGCACCTTCCCTTCCTCCTCTCCAGAGCCCAGGGCTGCCCTAAAAGCCCCAAGTTCTTTGCCATGGAGCTTCCAATGCAGTGACAATGAGATGGGTGCAGCTTTTTCTGGGTCATTGCTCTAAGCTGAGGACTCCCAAGATTTGTGTTTCTTCTCATTCTGCTGTGTTTAATAAACAGTCGTGGGTGGTCTCAGAAGCTTCTTGCTGGAAAACATTACAAAACTCTTCCAAAGAATGAGCCTGCGCCTTTGATGGAGGATTGGGGCCACCTTTGAGGTTCCCACTGATTCCAGAGTTCTGTGAACATCTCCATCTGGTGCCTTGGCCCAGCTTTGTGTCTCAGCAGGGGAATGGTAACAGGGAAGAATGTCCTTATTGGAGAGGCTGAGCCATCACTGGAATTTTACACCAGAACTCTAAATGCTCACAGTGGAAACAAACCCAAAGGGACAAAGAAGAGTGAAAGCTGACACTGGAAATCACCAATGTCAACAGAGTCACTGTGGGGGAGAAGAGTGGTGATGGGGAACCGTAATGGGAAGAAAGAACTGTTAGGGCCAAAGCAAGTACCCAGAGGCTGTTTTTGTGAGGCTCTAGAAAACTGAGCTCTGAGTGTGCTCCAGGAAGCCTGAGGGTCTGTATTTATCCCGTCATTGAAAATTCCAACTGGAAGGGACTGATGAACATGCTTGGGAGGGACAATGACCTTGTTATTCCTCCTACCAGAAATCTCCTGGGTGCCAATGAGCAAGTTGGGGACAGCTTGATATTGAAGACAGGCATATCGAAGAGGGAACTGTGGAGAATGCATTTCAAGAGGGGCCACTGTTCCACCCAATTCTGCAACTTTATCAGGAGTCACTTTTATCCTGGGGGTTCCAGGGTTTAACATTGTAACCACATTACACAGTCTGCTGTAATAATTCAATAGATGTTTACAGAGTTAGAGAATTCCACTGTGAAAGGATACCAGGAACTATGTAGTCCAAATCTCTCATTTTCAGCTGAGGAAACTGAGGCCCAGGGAGGGTGAGTGTCTAGTTGAGGTGGCCATGTCAGGATTTGCACTAAATCTCCTGATTACCAGGCCCATGCTGTCCTGTTCTGTCACTTACTAACAGGCCTGCTGAGACATCACAGAAAGGGCTGATTTGGATGTGTTCTGTTTCTAAGCATGTCACAAATCTAGAGGAAGAGCACAGTAGAGGGAAAGGGGCAGAGAGTGGGGACCTAGCAGTCCTGGATCTGTCCCCAACCTGCTGGGTAACTGTATCAGTTTCTAGAGGCTGCCATAACAAACTTCCACAAACTGGGTGGTTTAAAATCTACAGAAATTCATTTGCTCATAGTTGTGGAAACCAGAAATCCAAGACAAAGGTGTTGGCAGGGTTGGTTCCCTTTGGAAACTCCAAGGAAGAATCCATTCCATGCCTTTCTTCTGGCGGCTGCCAGCAATCCTTGATGTTCCTTGTCTTGTGGACACATTACTCCAATTTCTGCCTCCATCTTCACATGACCTCCTCTGTGTGGCAAGCCTCTCTCTGCCTTCTCTAATAAGGACACTTGTCATTGGATTTAGGATTTACCCAGGTAGTCCAGGATAATCTCATCTCAAGATCCTTAAATTAATTATATCTGCTTTTCCGAGTAAGGTCACATTCATGAGTTCTAAGGGTTAGGACATGGACATATCTTTTTAGGGGCCACTATTCAACCCACTACAAGGATCCTGGGTATGTCCCTTCCCCTTTCTGCTTCTTAGCTTTCCAAATAGAAACAGTGAGAGTGGCAAGCATCCATTGACTTGATTCCACAAATGTTTTGCTTGTTTTCATGGACACTGATGGACCACAAAATACACACCATCAACCCAGCATCCCGTGCCATGCTGACCACAGTCCCCAGCAGTCGTGTATACCGCAAAATCAAAAGCAAGAACTATTTCATGACTTTCTAGAACTTCCTTTGGCGATAGATTCTTGCAGGTTGGTTGGGGAAGTTGGCTTGTGGTCAGACCACAAATAGGAATGCCTTATCAACTCTGGACCCCACACTCTGGGGAGAGAGCGTTCAACAAGAGCAAGTGCAGAGGATGGGCTGAGTGTGGGAAGGGGCTTGACAAAAAACCTGTGCAGGGCTGGGACCAGGGGGAGGTGAGTGAGGCCCTCCCTTCTGGGGCAAAATTGAGGAGGGAGCCAAAAACCTCAGTAATCAAGATTAAAAAAAAAAAAAAAGGGACCAAAAAACGAATGCAAAAAAATGCATGATGAACAAAATATCAAAATTTTAAAGACAAGATGTGATCGTGAGACTCAAATCAGTTAGCTCACTCTAACCTTGGCCTTGTGGAGCCTCTCTTTACGTAAAATTTTGGTATTTTGTTCATCACGGATTTTTTGCATTGAGGTCTTTGGCATCCCCTTAAATTCTGCCTTTAGTCTCAGCCCTGGAACTGTGAGTTACGACCATAGGGATGGGCCCTTTAGTGACAGGGATCACTCCGCGGATGTGGTGACCACCAACAGGACCTGGAGGGGGTGGTGCCCAGAGGGACCAGTGGGGAAAATTAAGGAAGAAGTAGTGAGTCCTGTGCTACTGGGAGGATCTGAGAGTCTGATAGGAGGCTGGTCCACATGATCTCTAGGAAAGCCCTAAGACCCTCTGATTCCAAGAAGGAAAAAGGCTGAAGATTTCCCCCATGTAATTTCAATCATCTTTCAACCTCGAGATAATGTAAAAGCTGCCTCTTGCCTCACAGACTCTTGGACAGGGACTAGGTCGCCTGGAATTTTAGAAGCCACCGAAGCTGGGAGCCTGCCTGGCTCTGCTCTGATGGCATTGCTCCATCCTGGAAGGCCCAGGAGTTGGTAGCCCACACAGTAGGGTGAAGTGAACAGCCCCAGGAATAGCCCCAAGGTGTCCCATTCATGGGCACAGTGATAAGGGGGTGAGGTCAGTCTCCTCACCAGCTCCAAATTAAAAAATTTAAAATTAAAAATGAAAGTCAGTGACTTGGGAGATGTTACAAAGTCAAAACACTTACTACAAAAAAAAAAAAAAGAAACTGCAAAAAAGTGATATTTCCAAAATGCACTCCTGTGTACTTCTACACATCTGGGTGTGGCTCGCCCACTCTGGGTAACATTCAAGCTCCTTGGAACGACATTGAAGCCCTTGGGGTGTTGCATGGCCCTCACCCCAACTCAGCTTCACAGATCTCATGTGTAATCATTTACATCTTTGGTCTTCCTTAAGTCTCTCATTTTAATTATTATACTGTCTACCTGTATGGAATTTTTTTCTTAGTTTTGTACTTCCTTCAAATGTTATACTATTTTTAGATTAAAGTATAGGGTATCCCTGGACCCAAGAATCTTCTAATAAACTGCAAACTTTAACGCCTTTAAAAATAACACTTACTGAAATAAAAATGAGCTGTTTCTACTCATTATTCAGCATCTCCAAAAACTTCATATACTCATTGATTTTGGTATGAAAATATTTCTCCAAACACTTTCTAACCAGAGTGTTTTTCCAGGATTTCTCAGGTGCCAGCTTGATCTAGCGCCGCTTATAAAATGTGTCCTAATGATTTGCCATTTTTGGACAAATCAATAAATCATTCTTAGAGCACTGGCTCTAACTGAGACTAAGTAATGGACAATAATAACATACATATTTTTTTACTTTACTATGAAGTTTATTCTTTAAATGAAACTGATGGTGGGTGAGCATCTAAAAATCTGAGATCAGAGGAGACAGGAAAGGATGATGTGCACCGTGGTGCTGAATTTTGGCTGGTGGTTAGAACTGAGAGATGGATGTTGCCATCTTCACCGAGGCTGTCGTCACCTGATTCTTGATAATGGTATCTTACACTGATGGAGAACAGTGTGCTTTGGAAACACTTTTACATATACCACGTTACCCGTTCTCTCACAGCCCAAAGAGATAAGCAGGCCAGGGGTTAGTCATCCCAAGTGGAAACATGTGGAGGCCTGAGGACTTAAGCACCCTGTCAAGGTCCTCCTCCCAGTTATGACAGCACAAGGTGCCAGGCGCCATGCCAGCCACGTTGCACAATCTGCCAACCAGTCCTCCCTTTGACTCCAGAGGAGGATATTTTCACCACCACTATACAGGTGAAGAAACAGCGGCTCAGAGAACTCAAGCTCAAGATCATGCAGCTGGTAAGTGGCAAAGCTAGGGTTTCGACCAATCTTTCTGGTCCTCAGTACATGTCTCCTCAAGTCTACTTGAGGAGTCTGTCCTTTCCTCCAGGCTGACAGGAGCATCAGTGAGACTGAGAAAAGACTGCAGGTCGGCGAGGCATGGGAGAAACGCCAGCCTACTCTGAAAGGCAATGTCTGCAGTTGGTGCTATAACAGTCACGACTCCATCCCTGACACATACACTATGTTATGTGCTTACAAAGCACACTTACCTCATTTGATTCCCACAGTTCCCCAGAGGGCCATGTAGTAGTGGGCTGGCTATTCTCATTTAACAGATAAGCAAGGCTCAGAGAGGTTAAGTGATTTACTCAAAGTCACACAGCAAAGGCAAGAACAAGGTCTAGGTGCTTTTTGCCAACATCACTGGACAACATGATCAAAGGAGATGGGTTTGGGGCAGACCAAGCAGACCAAGGCACTGACCTTTCCTGAGATGGTCTTGATCTGCTTGGAGCTCAGGGGCTCAAAGTCCACGCCAATGTAACCCTCCATGGCAGCAAGGAGATTCTTCCGGAGACAACGGGATGAGTTGGCTTCTGTGTGCACCTGCTCCCACCAGGAAGGCTCATACCAGCCAGGGATGATCCACTGGTACTTGCTACCATACATATTCTCCTCATATGCCTGCAACAGAGGGGTTGACCATGAAGACACCAAAAGACAAACATCTGTTCAAAGCTTTGTGCCCTTGAGAGAGATGGAGATGACTCAGGCTTCCTCTTACCAGAGGATTCATTAATTCTTCTATTACTTGCTTGGTCTCCTCTTCTTTTATCTCTCAAGGGAGCCAAGGTAGTTTATAGGAAACATGTATAATAAAATAATAAACATCAAGAAAAAATTAAAACATAAGGGCCTGGGAAAGTTAATTATAATATGTTTACTAGAGGTAAAGGGAACAGAACATAGACAAGTCAACCAAAGGTTCCAACACAGTACATACTAAGCTGTATATTTCACCATAAATTCCCGGCAGCCTAAGAGAAAAGGGCAACAATATTAATTGCTCAACTCTTGCGTTCAATAGGGAGAACACATACTAGTTCTTCAGGGACATGAAGTGTTTTCCAGGCTTTAATCCCTAAAAAATGCCTCATATGGAGGACACTGTCAAATTAGCTAGCATGGTATTAGCAGCATCCCTACAACAAACAGATTTCATAAGGCTATTTTTGTATAGATCTTAACTAAAAGACAAGATTATAACCTTTAAATACAACCCAGGGGGAGCAATTTTGCAAGGGGCTAAGAAAATTTAATGTGAGCATGTAACTTACATAAGATGCCACTTGGCAAACTGAACATTCTTTCTAAATCTTTACCCAAAGCATAAATTGAGATCCTAAAAAAAAAGTCCCTTACATTTGTATGCTCTACCCACATCTTACTTGATTGTCATTCGTATTCACCCTTTGAGATGGTCTGGGCAGACTTTTATTATCCTCATTTTAGAAACAAGGAAACTGAAAACCAGAGAGGGAAAGTCACTTTTCCAAGGTCACACAGCCAGGGAGAAAAATCAGCCTGGAACCTAGATCTGCCAACTCTTACACTGCAAAGCCACACTGCCTGCCTTCCATTTAAACAGAAAGTTGTCAAGACTTTTAATGCAGCCTTATTTGGCTTTAATTCATACTATGATGATTTTATAACAGGAAAGGTATGCTTTTCGATAGCACAAATGAACCCAGAAAATCTCACTTTGTAGGAATGTCATGTTCCATCAAAGCTGGGTCCAGAATGGAGTTTCTAAGTAGAGTGCACATTCTTATCAGTAATTAAAATACCCGGAAGTAACAAAAGAGAGCAGTAGTGTGCGCTCTGTGTGCTGTGATGAACTGTATACATTTAAAAATGTGAACCTTAAACAATCCATCTGTTTGTTCCTGGGGAATCACCTATGTTAGAAGGACATTTTGGGAAACAATTCAAGTCAGACCTCTTTATGTTCCTTGGCTTAGAACA